CAATCACATAACTATAACACGAGATTTAAGAACAAGCTTGCCGTACCATGTTTCAGACTTCAAAAATCAAGAGGTTCATTTCTGGGTTGTAGTATTGCATTGTTTAATAAAGTTCCCCAAGATTTGATTGAACTTCCACTGACCAAATTTAAATCTCAGATCAAGAATTCTCTTATGAAGAAGGGCTTTTATATCGTTGATGAATATCTAAATGATCGTAATGCATGGACATAGTGTTTCTTGTAATTTGTTATTTCATGGGTATTAGTTATTTTTCATAACAACAATATGGTGTAACCTATCTAATGCCGCTTCCTGTATACTAAATATAGAGTTAACAATAAAATTTATTGTAACTATACATCTATATGCTAAATGATGTAATGGAAGGTGACTTCAGAAGTATCCCACAGGGAGAAAAAAACAGCCCTTGCTGAGTTTTTTGCCGGTTCTTCTCAGTGCAAGGTCTCCCGCCGTAGTTTTGCGAACCGATGGCGTAGCTTCTTGACCTTCACAAGTGCTTGTAACAGCCTAGACTCAATAAATGAGTTTGATAGTTTGAGTTTGGTTTAAAAAAATTGGTGTTACTTTTCAAGTTTACTGTATTTTTCGTATGTATTTTTTCGGCAAATATATACTTATTATTATCATATATCCTCATAAATGGATCAACCTGGGATCCTTTAAAAGAGGCGTGAAGAAGCAACATGCAGGCCAACAGCGTGAGGATGGCTGGTATATCAGGTAGAACTGCTGTATCAGCTATCTTCGCGTCATTTGTCGGACCTATATATAAAAAAAATATATAAATAATAATAATTATGAGTTATTTTTTTGCGAGTAAGACAGAGTTAGTTATCGAGGCGGGTGTTTCAATTCTAGCGTATATCCGCTGTGATCTACCTCGCTTGTTCAGTGTCTACTCACACGAAGATCGGCTGTGAACCAGTTCAAACGACGACAATGTGGGCTGTCACACGTTTTATCGACTTATAATGGGATTAGTAATGCAATTCGCCGTCACTGATGGAGATCACTGTGTTATCAGTACGATAAATGTCTTAGGCCACTTACGCTATGATCCTTACCTGCAAAAATATAATTTAAATATGGGCTGAGGAGCTCGACGGCGCGGGTGTTTAGCGCGTTCGGCTGCGATCTTTTAAGTTAAGCAACTTTCGCAGTGGTCGGTCATTGGATGGGTGACCAAAAATCTTCTATTTCGAGTTCCTCCATGCTTCGGAAGGCACGTTAGGCCGTTGGTCTTACCTGCATCTGCAGTCGTTAGCACCCGCAAATCTGCACTGGGTCCGCGTGGTGGGTCATGGCTCAATCTCCCTATTCCATCCATAGGGAAGGCCTGTGCCCCAGCAGTGGGAACATTAAGAGGACGATGATGATGATGGGCTTTAAGTGTTGCTCTTTTATAAATTATACTTTAGGTACATTTAGTTGGAGAGCCGGCTGTTTAAGTCTGCCGACTTAGTTTGAAGAATTAAAGAGCCTATGCTTATATATTTCATCTCTATGTATGTTTAATTATTTAATTGTCTGCTTATCTTTTTCAAACACATTGATTTTTTTTCAATTGATCAATTGATAGGTCTAATATATAAGCATAGGCTCTTTCATTCTTGAAACTAAGTCGACAGTCAGATCCGGGCAAATAAAAAGTGTCGACCAACTTTTATCAGTCATTAGAGAGGTTCTTGTTTTAGAAAATCGTAAACAAATACATGTTTCGATGACTTAAGATAAATTAAAAAATATGTGTTTTTAATGGAGGTCGACTCAGGATAGCGAATAAATAGAGCTTGTCGACCCTTGACATTTCTATTCTACATTTTCTTGATGTATTAGATAAATTACAATTACACCTAAAATAAAAAGCGGAAGTGACGTTATAATTTTTCATGCGGGCAAAATCAAGCAACTTCAGAGGTGTCGACCTCTAGACCTATGGCGATATTGTTCATACCCCAAAAATGATTCATGTATCTAATCTATAGGACTTTAATACAGCTGGCTTTTTTTTCTGTTATAGGGGGCATACGAGCAGACGGCTCACCTGATGGTAAGTGATCACCGTCGCCCATGGACACTTGCAACACCAGGAGTATCACAAATGCGATGCCGGCCTTTAAGGAAGGAGTACGCTCTTTTTTTGAAGGTTTTTGGGTCGTATTGGTCCGGAAACACTGATGGCGACAATATATTCCACAGTTTTGTCGTACGTGGTAAAAAATTTCGACAAAAACGCACGGTTGTGGATAGCCACGCATCAAGATGATGGGGATGAAATTTTTGTCGCGATGTACGACGGCGAAATGCAGCAGCTGGAATTAATCCGAACAATTCCTCAGAACACTCCCCGTGATAAATGCGATAGAAGATGCAGAGCGAAGCTACATCCCTACGCAAAGCCAAAGGATCAAGCTGATCGGATAGGTCCTGGAGGCCTACTCTAATTTAACGAAAAACGAAATTTCGAACGAAATTTCGCACTTTTCTTACTATGTTTCTGGTTCGTTTTTAATTATAATAATATTCGGCGCCGGAATATAGATTGAGGTGTAGATTTTCTAAACCTACTCAAAGTAAGCTCCAATTTGATAGTTTATCGTTCAAATTAAGTATAACCTTAAATTGAAAAAAATAAATTTCGTTTGAACTTCGTTATCGAAAGTTCGTTTCGGAGAAAGAGAGTAAACCCCCTGGTCGTCGACGATTCGAGCCGCTCGGCGCTGGATGCGATCCAAAGGGAGAAGCTGGTACTGGGGTGCCCCCGCCCAAAGATGAGAGCAGTACTACATGTGAGGCCGAACCTGTGCCTTATAAAGTCGCACTCGGTGGGCCGGTGTGACGTACATTCTCGATCTATTGAGCAGCATTTTCTTAGGCTCTCGGACTAATTGACAACACAACGTAAATAAGCAGATAGCTCGCTGTCAGCAACTTTACCGCCGTCAGACGACTCGGTATTTGACGCCTCGTTTACCATGCGTTGCAAGCAAGTGGTCTGCACGTGTCCACGCGCTGACAGCTACAGGTAGACCGCTTAACTGAGTCCTCGCCTAAGGGATAGAGGATGTGGAGGAGGACGAAAACGGAGGCCATGAGAAGTGCGGGCGGCAGCCACATTCTTGTCAAAATTACAAGCGCTCGCTGCCCCCACGTCTCACGTTCCCCGTTCTCGTCATGCCCCCAAGGGCGGATCCAGGGGGGGGGGGTCATGGGGGTCATGACCCCCCCCCCCTGGGCTGGGTACAGATGGACCAAACCCAGGGGTATTTTATTTAAGTACTTTCAATATTTAATATACCACGACTATATGACCCTCCCCCTGGCGCCAAAGCAGGTTATATGACCTCCCCCCTGGCGCCAAAGCTGGATCCGCTCTTGCATGCCCCACACCTTGTATTCTGAGGGCGAGGACTCATTTAAGCGGTTTACTTATAGTAGGCCTTTTTAGCATTTATACCAAGCAATCCGCTCGCTAGCTAGCTGTCGGCGTGTGGACTGCGAGCAGTCGCCTTAGTTTAGGGCGGAGCTGAAACAGAGTCGTGTAAGTAGGCTAAGTCCTTTAGTCTTTTGATCTGTCTAATGAAGATAATCGAATATACTTTTCTATTTTTTTTTTATATATTATACCGGGCATACTAGTTGACCGTCAACCTGATGGTAATTGATTACTGTGAGCAGTGGTCTCGAACGTCATTGCCAGAAATCGGTAGAGCTGCTCTCTAAAATCGGTATATTTGTACTCAAAATCGGTATATGACAAAAATTACAATATTAATTAAAATTTGATTATTTATCAAAGAAAAACTTACAGGGTAAATAATACGTTACATTTTTAGCGGTTCCAAATGGGAGGTTATATTCCTTTAGAATTTGTTAGGGTGCCATAATTATTATATCAGAAAAAATGACATAGTCATCACGATATGATTTTTTTGTTAATCTCACACTTTTAGCAATTGAATAAATAATCATCTCTTATCTATTAGACAAGTCCGTCCGTCCGTCTGTCTGTGGTGCTGTTTCAGCGGCCAAACCGTAAGAGATGGATAAAGAGAATGTTTAAGTTATAAGTTAAGAATAGTCTGATAAGACTACAAACCGGATTTGAGTAACGTAGCACTTCCGGTTTTGGAGAAATCACGAATTTCAAACGAAACCACACAAAATCTCCGAAGTTCTCAATTAATTAAATACATTTTTTTTTTCAATCAGGTTTTGGTGAACATTTGGTTCACTGGTTTGCTAGTCTCTTATCTATTAGACAAGTCCGTCTGTCTGTGGTGCTGTTTCAGCGGCCAAACCGTAAGAGATAGATAAAGAGAATATTTAAATTATAAGTTAAGAATAGTCTGATAAGATTACAAACCGGATTTGAGTAACGTAGCACTTCCGGTTTTCGAGAAATCAGGTTTTGGTGAACATTTGGTTCACTGGTTGAATAATTTCTCGTAACGTTAAACATAAATGAAAAGATCAGCCAACTTAAAAGTGTAGTCGGTAGAAAAATCGGGACAATATCCATGTATTTTATGAAATCGTGGAAAAAACATTGCATTTCGGTATTTCGGTAGGACAGATCCCATATCGGTAGAAAAACCGAAAAATCGGTAGGTTCGAGACCACTGACTGTGAGACTCTTAGAATTTAAAGACTTTTATGAAGGAGTACGTTCTTTTTTAAAGTTTCACCAAGTCATATTGGTCAGCAAACACTGCTAGCGATAATAAGTTTCATAGTTTTGTTATTGGCACATCGTAAAAAATAACGTCAAAACCGCACGGTCGACTTTTCAAAAACTGCGCGATTCCAAAAAAGTAGGCTTGTCTCTATCGTCAATTGTTTTTCGAAAGTTGCGTAGCTTTTAAGGCTTACTGCAAATGACCATCAATCAAATAAAACAAAAGTTACTATTAGAGATTTCTCCCCATACGACGCATGATCGTCGGAATATTATTGTTATACTGTAATCATTTTAGTCATGGGAAGTTGACGGCAAAGGTCCCTCGCAGGCGCTGTGAACTTTCACCCAAAACCTTTTTGAACACAGAAACAAATTGTTTTCTTAACTGCTGCTGGAAGTGCAAAAGTGTCTTAGTCTATGGATAGAGTTGCGTACAAATATTTTTAATTTAGTGTTGCGTTTTTTTTTGTGAGTGAAAACTTTTTAGCACCTTTAATTTATTTAATATTTAATCATAATTTATGGCATAAAATATGGTAAAAAAGGTGTTTGATTGTTCTCATGTCTCACATATTTTACTGTTAAAAAGTATGCAACAGTTTTTAAATTAAATTAAAATTAAAGTGTTATGTTTAGCTTATCAGTATCATGCCAAGATCATTTTATAATCAATATCATACAATGTCAAATAAACATAAAATTATCCATCAAAATGTAAAAAATAGATGTCCAATGTTCAAAATCTGTTTTCTCACAAGATTCCAATAATCAATAATCATATTGATTTGAAACTCGATGAAACGAAAATTTAACAGTATTTGACACAAAGTATCCTTAATATTGTAACTCTCTGCAAGACACAGACGAACGGTAATGGTCTTGGAGTCGACATCAAATGGTCGGTGGTTCGATCCTGAGCTTGGTTATTTTAAATTTTTTCTTTTATTTATTTATTTATTTAATAGGTGTACTTACAGCTAAACATATAAAAACATTAAAAAAAAAACTTATTCTAAGTCATACATGCAAGCCTTTACAAGCACACACAACATTCAATTCAAAAAAGTACAATGTAATTAATAATCAATAATAATATATGTAATCTATAATCGATAAATCAATGAATAATAAATACAAAATAGTGCAATTAATAATCAATGTTTGATTTAAAATTAAAAATGTATGTCAAATTGATGCAAATAATAATATTAATATAATAATAACAAATAATATTTTTTTTATTAAGCTATTATTTATTTTTTGAAACAATTTAAATATAGAATATTTAATTTTGCTCACTATTTTACAATACCTCAATAGTCAAAGTTGTGTATTAATACAGGCTTCATTTTTTCTTTCCAATGATTGCAATTTTTTTACAGTAATTTTTATAAGTAAATATTTCGAAAAAAAACCTAAAAGAAGAAAAACATAACAAAATAAATAAAATAAAAATGGCTGAAGAACTTTTACGTATTCACATTTTTGTAGGTATCACTTCTGTCGTATGTGTACAGCACGTGTCCGTTTTTTTTTGTAAACACACCAATTATGAAATGAAATGAAATGAAAAGTCATTTATTTAGTCTAGGCTGTTACAAGCACTTGTGAAAGTCAAGAAGCTACGCCATCGGTTCGCAAAACTACGGCGGGAGACCTTGTACTGAGAAGAACCGGCAAGAAACTCAGCAAGGGCTGTTTTTTTTCTCCCTGTATTGTTATATACAGAGTCGTCAAGTTGGAAAATGACTTCAGATATATTATCCTAGCCCCACAGGAATTGTAGGCTTGTGATATGGTATACTGATCGACGATCGACGGGTGATCTTCTAGCGTACTTGACTCATATCTGGGGTGAGGCTATTGACAAGCGGGGCGAGTCGTTGGCTATCAGCCTAGACATTGCCAAGGCATTCGACAGGGTCTGGCACAAAAGCCTTCTCTCCAAGCTTCCGGCATACGGTCTGCCGGCCCAGTTCTGTTCTTGGGTAGCTGACTTCCTGCATGAGCGTAGAATTCGTGTCCTTACGGATGGTAGCAGTTCGCGGTTCATGTCAGTGAATGCCGGCGTTCCCCAGGGCTCCGTCCTATCCCCCACTCTCTTTCTGCTGCATATCAATGACCTAATTCCTCTTGGGAATATTCATTGCTATGCAGACGACAGTACAGTGCATGCGGGGTATCTCGGACAAGCAGCGGCTGGGCAGGCGGTAACCAAGGAGAAACGGGAGAATCTTGTCATTGAACTCAATCAGGCTTTGGACCACATTTCTGAATGGGGTACCAAGAACTTGGTTGAGTTCAATGCTAAGAAAACCCAGGTCTGCGCTTTCACGGCAAAAACGTCGCCATTCCTTTTATGTCCTTCTCTTCAGGGCACAACACTGGAGCTAGAGAGCAGTATCACCATGCTCGGTATGGAGATTCGCTGTGACTTAAATCCAAAAAATTACATCGAAAGTGTGATAAAAACAGCCTCACGCAAACTCGGAGTCCTGAACAAGGTGCGGCGTTTTTTCACGCCCGAGCAACTATGCTTGTTATATAAGACGCAGGTTCGGTCTTGCGTGGAATATTGCTCGCACCTCTGGGATGGCTCCGCCAAGTACTTGCTCGATGCTTTGGATAGGTTACAGCGGCGCGCAATACGCATCATAGGTGATGAGGAGGTGTCTAAACACCTCGAGCCTCTTCAATTACGCCGTGACGTGGCGTCACTAAGCGCGTTCTATCGTCTGTACCACGGCGAGTGTTCTGAGGAGTTATTCTCTCTTATTCCACCTTCCCCTTTCCTTCAGAGGACCACGCGCGCTGGCTTACGTTGTCACCGTCTAACTGTGGCTACAATTCCAACGCGTACAAAGAAATTTGGTGACTCATTTCTTTGTCGTACTATCCGTAAATGGAATGCTCTGCCCGCTCACGTGTTCCCTCCCTCTTACAACCTGGGATCCTTTAAAAGAGGCGTGAAGAAGCAACATGCAGGCCGGCAGGGTGAGGATGGCTGGTGTGGCAGGTAGAACTGCTGTATCAGCTATCTTCGCGTCTGGACTTCACCTCCACTTAACATCAGGTGGGGTGGAGTCATTTGTCGGACCTATCTATAAAAAAAAAAAAAAAAAAAAAACTAGGGTAACAGATAGAACATATACATATGGGAAATATATCATCATCATCTTCATCATCAGCCTATTAATATCCCCACTGCTGGGGCACAGGCCTTCCCTATGGATGGAATAGGGAGATTGGGCCATGACCCACCACGCGGGCCCAGTGCGGATTGGTGGGCACTAACGACTGCAGATGCAGCCGGGACCAACGGCTTGACGTGCCTTCCGAAGCACGGAGGAGCTCGAGATAGTAAATTTTTGGTCACACATCCAATGACCGACCACTGCGAATGTTGCTCAACTTCAACGACCGCAGCCGAAAGCACTAACCACTGGCGCCATCGAGCTCCTCGATTTATATATACATATAAATAAATATATAGACGTATATATTGGATGGATTCACTGGATTACTGGACTGGAATAATACGAACCTGGCACTAACTTAGGCTGCTATCAATAGCATTTGCCAATCAGCGTCGAGTCCGCGGAGTAGATAGATGGAGAAGTCTTGTACCCAAGCACTACCCCAGTTGTGGAGATAATAAAATAGCCTAATAAGTATCACATTAAAATAAAAAAATCAAAATAATAAAATTGTTTATTCAGTATGAAAGTCTAGAAGCCACACTATCTGTTCGTAAATCTACGGCGGGAGACCTTGTACTGGGAAGTCGCTGTCTTATTATTATATACAGAGTCGTCAGGTAACTCAACTCAACTCAAACTCATTTATTCAGTCTAGGCTGTTACAAGCTCTTTTAAAAGTCAAACGCTCAAACACCTTGTGCTGAGAAGAACCGGCAAGAAACTCAGCAAGGGCTATTTTTTTCTCCCTGTTTGGTTCATACAGAGTCGTCAATTGAAAGATGACATCAAAAATTGAAAACATGTGTTGATGTCAACTTTCATCACATTAATATTATTAATAAAAAATGACTTCGTTATGGGATGGTCCATGAAGTTACCTTTCATAATTCATTCAATTTAAAGAAAGTCTGAATTGTGAATGTTTCTCAGATGATTAAAAAAACATTGATTGCAATCTTTTTTTGTTTGTTGAGTGTGTTTAATGAATATTAACTGCTGTTATGTTCAATATAAAGCGCTTTAAAAATGTATGGAATATGGTAATTGATATAATAACTTTGTTGCAAATTGCTGTGTACAGACGCTGGAGGAATTGGCTACACAAAATAAAAAGGTTTTACAAATAATATGGCATTTGTTACGTGAATTATAAAGAGTTCATTTAATACAATATAAGAAAAATAATATTTGATCAAAGTAAGATACAAAAAACAAACTTACGTATAATCGTGAAAAATAATATTTTTGTCAGAGTAAGACACAAAAAAACGTTTGCAAGAATGATTGATAATCATTCTTCAGAAAAAAATTAACATTAATAAGCAAATTACATTTTATGCAAAAAAGTGCGAAATAAACATTGAGATTAAATTTGTACCTAAACACAGAGCTATGGCTGGTTGGAAAATATCGCACCTCTGACGCGAACAATACACAAGCTCAATGTAGTTGCCGAGTCTATCGATTTGTTACCTGTTCAACTGGCAAGTTTACGAAAGTGACTTTAAAAGTGTTGTGTTTTAAATAAAATTATTGACATTTTAGGGGAAGATATTTTGAGAAATGTTTTTTTGAATTTCGGATTTTATTGACAATATTTGTAATCGAATTGGAAAATGCATTCTAAATTGAAGTTATTTTTATGGTTTTTAATTGACATTTTCTTATATTGACATTGTTATTTCTTTTATTTATTTTTGTTGATATACTTATTAACATTTTTATATAGTTTACAGCATTGAAATAGTATTTGTTAATAATTATTGTAATTTTATTAGAATTTATTGTTATTTTGAATGGACGACTGCACTATTGAATTATGTATAAACCTGTAATAATGGTGTATTGTATTTTGAATAAAAAATATATATGTATTAACTATTACTCATTACACTTGTAACATAATTTATTTTTGATTTGCGGAAAGAAACAAAAATATTTTAATAGGTTGCCCAACTGAGAATTAAGCGAAGGATTTTCTCAGCTGTTAGTCTAATGCAACGAGCATAAATCTCTTTTAATGAAAACTATTGTCCGCGATAATATTGCAATAATGTGTTTTTAGGGTTCCGTACCTCAGAAGCAAAAAGAGAGAAGATAAGATCTCGTTTAGAGATAAGTCCACCTTTGCTAACTA